GGGCACGGCTCTTGGCGCCGGGGGGGCCTGGGGCGTGCTGCCGGCGATGCCCGCGAGTGAGCGCAGGCTGTATGCCAGAGTGAGCGACGGGGAAGGGAGAAGCTCTGGGAACTTGGCGCTGCCGTGCCAATGGCGCGGAAAAGCGGGTGGCAGCCTCCTGTGAGAGGGTGGTCGTAAAGCTTAAAACCCTTAAAAAGGGAGGGAGAGAAGAGGAAGAGCATTCCCCGATGCATGAGCTTTTTCAGGGCTTGATACAATTTATTTTATTTTAATATCATGTAAAAAATGTTGCACGCGGTCAACTTCAGGGAAGGCAAAAGTGCAGGTGCTGAAGTCCAGGCCCAGGCAGTTCCCGTTTGCAGTCTGCGGGCTGCCCGCCGGTGCTCAGAAGACTTAAGTTCCACCTTAACATTAACGAGTGCAATTGTACATGTGCAGTCATGTGCTAAATGCACTTGATACATGAAGCGACCCAGTCTGCCTGGCACGTCATTTTGTCATTTACCCAGTTAAATAAGCGCTCAGCAGAGTTGAAAATTGCATGAAAAAAGTAAGCTCAGAAAGCTCTGTTTAAGGAAAGGAGGGGAAAAATGGTTTACGCATTTAAGAGATGTTTTTGCATAGCCATTTAGGACTCTCTCAGACTAAAGTTTTCAGTAATGTTTTGTGGAGTTTTTTTGTGGGGGAGGTTGTGGTTGGTTTTGGTTTGGTTTGTTTTTTTGTCAGCTAGGGAGTGGAATTTCTTCCAAGTAGTGTAATGTTGTGTTTTATAGAAGTATCACCTGGTAATAAAGCCTTTAACTAAAGAATTGTTAGGATGAAGTAGAGGGGCTGCAAAAAAACACCTATATGACAAACTGGAGTTCAAAAACATTGAGGACCTGGATACTCTGTAGTGATAACTATAGCCATCTAGCAGGTTATTTCTGCCTTGCTAGCTATTACTGTATAACTCAGCAGTGGGTTGTGCAACATATCTATAAAGACTCTGGTTCCTAGGCAGATGGTTACCATCTTGAACTTTAAACCTTTTCCCTTTCATTGCTGCTATAATTGATAAATCATTCTAGTCCCACCCCTGATAACATAAGACTTATTGTCAGCATTTGTTGGTGCAAATAAGTAGAATGCATGTCCGAAAACTTTATCTGAGTTAGAAGATACTGGAACAGGTCTTTTCTTTAAATTATTTCGTACCGTCCTGCTTCTAGTGGCCTCTGTGGCAATTTTAATGTCTTGAATACTTACTTTTTCTGTGTCTAAGTAGTGAAAATGCTCAGCCAGAGGATCTGAGTTTCCTCAATGATTTGCCACTTTCCTATTATATTTTTTTCTTAGTAATTTTAATCAGTTCTCCCTATCAATCAAGCAGCAATGCAAAATATATAATATATGCAAATATATTGGCCGGTTCTTCCATTTCCCTCAATAGTTTTTCAAAGGCTGTGTATCTGAATTAGAACTTTATATTTTTTGAAAGCTGACAGATTGGGCTAGTGCTACAGTAGTGCATTACTGTAATCTGAACTTTTTCCACAACAAAAAGTGCTTTTTTTCCCCCACAACTTCTATTCTACTGAACAAATTTATGTAGACCTGTTGCCAGATTTTATTTTTCTTTTGTGTGTAGGTGCAGTTTTTGTGATGACTCCTTAATTTCTGTGAAAAACAGTGCAATTTATATAGTGAGAAATAGAGCATAAGCAACTCTTTATTTGTGTTCTAGGATTGTAAATTATAAAACTACTATGAAGATACCTCTAAATAACCACAGAAAGGTTGAGGTTGGAAGCGACCTGTGGAGGTCATCTGCTCCAACCCTTCTGCTCAAGCACGGCCATCTAGGGCAAGGAGTCTGTCTAGATGTTTTTCTTTATATTCTTGGTTTAAAAGCTGTGAAATCATTTACCCATATCTCTACAGTTATTTTCTCGAAAAATAGAGAGGTACTAAAATACTTCTCTGATCCAAGTTACACCATGTCACCAGTGATACTTTTTTTTTTTTTTTCTCTTAACATGTGGGGGCATGATCTTTTAGGATTTATGAGATTGGAGTCGTCTCTTAGAAGCTGTTGATGAGCCTAGGTAAAGTGTATGTCTACAGTAAGACTCTGTCCCAAGGTGTTAATGAATTAGGAGAATGGTAAGAGATGCAGGTGGCTGCAATGAAGTGATAATAGAAGGCAACAGGAGAAGAATGACCTAATTAGAGAGATGGCTCAGGAAGATTAACCCAGCTGTAGCGTTCTGAATATATAAGAAGTCACTTGGATGGTTGTTTTTGTCAGAGGATAAGGAAGTTACTGGTGTAGAGTGAGAAGTGCTGGAATCAAACAGGAAGACTGAATGTTGTGTGAGAAGAGATGGCAGGCTTTAGATATGGTCCTCCAGTTCCTGAGAGAGAGTGGGGATGTGTCCATCAGCTAGCATATCAGAAGAAAAATGTAATGTCGTTACTGGTTGCTTTTCTAATCAGGATGGTTTTGCTCTTTGCTGTATAGGGTTGATGTGCTTAAACATTTAATGTTCTTCATGAGACACTGCTCATACAGTACCTTAGCTAGCACTAGGGATTGAGTTCTGTATACCAGAACCAAAGCTGATTTATATGTTGTATTTTTCCTGACGGGGAAGGGAAAAAATGGGTGTTGGACTTAGTTTTACATGTATCAACCTTGCCTTGAGTCTGTATACAGTATTGGTGAACCAGTCAGTTTTGAGTGCAACCATTTTATTTCCTTTTAAGGCAGACTTCTTCTTTTGTGTTTTGAAATTAACTGTGAATAAATTGGTTTACTTGCTAGCATTACTGTCAAGCAGTCCTGTCCTGCATGTAGCTTTTTGGTCTTTAGCTGTTTTGAAAGCGTCTTTCTCCAGAGGAGACAAGTAATAGAAAACCACCTGTATGTGGAGTCTTGCTGGCTTTAGAGAGCCAAAAGGGACAAAGGGAATATGAAGCATGTATTTAGTTTAGAATATAATGCAAACCACTGCAAACCTAGAAAGAAAGGGCCTTTCTTTAAATATGCAAATTGGTCCTCAGACTTCATGTCACAGTAATACTAGCCTTTAGGTCAGATGTAAGTTGTTTTCCTAAACATTAAGCTTGTCCAAATGTAAAACTAATGTGGTGTGACCTTTCGCTGCAAGTAATATCAGTGGGGGTCTTGCTGTCACTGAATATAAATTGAACTCCTCATATGAGAATTCTTGGGGGTTTTTTTTGCTTTATTTTACTATAATTATCCAAGAGCAGGCATAGTAATATGACACTGGTTTAAGTAAATGTACTATTAGTGGGGGACGAAAGAATGACTAGCAAGTTCTATCAGTTAAGAGCTGGAGCAAAGAGGAACAGAAGTGTAGCAGTTTGCATAATGTTAGAAGTAAGATGCTGAAATCAGTGGTTTGGACGACAGAATATAGATTATAATCATCTCAGTGTGGTGGTTTTATCTGTGACATCATGTGCTATATTAATGAATGGCCAAAAAGGTTTCTGAAAACATTTATTCAACAGTACAGTGATTATCAGGTAAGGCAAATATGATAGTATTGTAGTAATATTGCTGCCGAGGGGAAATGTAGCATACAGAGTATATCAGTATTTACCACCTTGTCCAATTGTTGTAATACTAATTTTAAAAAGTCTTGTTATGAGTTTCACATTGTAGGTAATACTCTATTGCTAAAATGTGTCTGAAAACATTTATTCAACAGTACAGTGATTATCAGGTAAGGCAAATATGATAGTATTGTAGTAATATTGCTGCCGAGGGGAAATGTAGCATACAGAGTATATCAGTATTTACCACCTTGTCCAATTGTTGTAATACTAATTTTAAAAAGTCTTGTTATGAGTTTCACATTGTAGGTAATACTCTATTGCTAAAATGTGTTTATCT